TGTGTTTGGGTGTGTGTGTGTGTGTGTGTGTGTGTGTGTGTGTGTGTGTGTGTGTGTGTGTGTGTGTGTGTGTGTGTGTGTGTGTGTGAATGCGTGTGTGTTAAAAAAAGTCCGAAGCTAAAGATCGACGTCCAGACATGATGACTCATTGATGTCAACTCAAAACACACAATATGATTTACAAAAGAATACGTGTACAGTGAAGATGAAAGGGCAGTGAAATTCAAAAGCAAGTGTTCAATGTTCAAGACAAAAGAAAAAGAAAAGGGAAGTGAATGATTTAATTTGGGATGGGCGGGGGTGGGGTAACAACATTCACAGTAGCAGTAGCCTATAGCTATGTGCAGCGTGGTTTCGTACTGGGCTACACGGTAGACACGACAAATAGGCCTAGGCCTAGTTTAGCATTCACTCATAGCGGGGAAGAGGAAGGTGGGGTGGGGGGTTGCGTGAAACAACTGATATGGTGACTGACTGGCAGTTTCTTGCCCCTACTTCACTAGGCCTACGAAAGTTCGTCTCAGGACAGACCCGTCTGACGTTTGAAACCTTTGAACTTGAGTGTAATGTACCGCACCTATTAGTATAGTATAGTAGTATAAGGTTTTACGGCGCTCGCAACTGCTAAGGTCATATGAGCGCGCGAAACACAAGTTGTTCACTTCTGCGAAAGTTCACTTCACGACTGGTAACTAATTTACTTTAAAATGCTAAAAAGTTAAAATATTCAAATTCGGTGTAAATACATTTGTGATCTAAAACAACTTTTAAGTAACAATAAAAATTTTAAATAATATCAGATTCACTTTACAACTCGCCATAAAGGCCAATGGCCTTTATAAAATTTAAAATTCTGCTGGGAACAACGACGGAGAAAATATCCTGCAATTTCTTGCATTTATAATATTTCCTTCGGATCTCTCCAAAGTCTAGACATTCTGTTAAAATGTGTCTAATGGTAAAATCTGTGTCGCATCCGACACAGAACGGCTTCTCCTCTCCCTGTAGTAGGTATTTGTGGGTCAGGGCCGTGTGTCCGATGCGCAATTGAGTAAAAATGACTTCGTCTCTTCTGGAGAGATCCGAAGGATTTCGCTGTTCTAGTCTGGGTTTAATTTCATATAATTTATTATTTTTCTGGTTTTCCCAGTACCGCACCTATTATAATTGGGAAGTGACATTTTTGTTGCATTGAGTCCCGAGCAGTTGTGAATTGCTACAACATCGGTGGGACAGTATGACCTAGTACTGTTTTCTCTTTCTCTTTTTTCTAATACAAAGCAACAGAGCACAGGCACATGCAACCTCGATTCATCCACCTTGAAGACACAGTCTTGAATCTACATACATATGTATCAAGGCCTAGTGCACGCAAAATTCCAATAGTGAAAAAAAAACAACATAATAAGTAAACAAAACTCACAAAAATTAATTTAACTTGGTAATCGAGCATTAAATTGGGTTCCCCGCGTAATTTTTGCTTATATTTTGGGTCGCTGATCACGAAAATCTTATTATTTCTTAAATTTGACCAATATTTAAGAAATTTTTGGAATTCATTTTTAACTCCGCCTTGGCCAACATCAAAGAAGCCGCCTTATGCGCCGGATCAGTCCTGTCCTGGTGCGGTGTCTGTTTGTTTTGAAGCGAAAAACTCGACTGTACTGTGGGGTGGGACAGCCCTAGGCCTAGGCCTATCCCACGACAGGACTGTAATAGTGAGGTAGAGATTTAGATTCTTGCCTCGATTCTCGGAGTCAGGGCTAGAAACCAGGCTAAAAAAAAGGAGACGGGAGGCATCGACCCTGGGCGGACTCGAAGCTTAAAGTCTGGGAACAAGATCGATTCTTTGAGTCCTCACTTAGACTTGAAAGAATCGATGGCTGGATCCAAGCAGATCGGGTCAGCGGGGCCGAAGGCCCCATCGTGGCCGATGAATGCGCGGTGATTTCGGGATTATATTACGGCTATAAATGGAAGGGATGGCTCCTGGGCGGACTCGAAGCTTAAAGTCTGGGAACAAGATCGATTCTTTGAGTCCTCACTTAGACTTGAAAGAATCGATGGCTGGATCCAAGCAGATCGGGTCAGCGGTGCCGAAGGCCCCATCGCGGCCGATGAATGCGCGGGGATTTCGGGATTATATTACGACTATAAATGGAAGGGATGGCTCCCTTTATAGAACGCATTGGTCAAAAAAGACAAAAACGGGCGTTTAGGGGTTTCTAGACTTAAAAAATGAATTGAGCGACCCCACAAAGTGCTAAAGTGTAACTTTAGCTGTTCGGGAAATTGAAATGAGAACTTGAAATGCTTGTTAAGGATTGCAAAAACATATTTTTACGGATTGGGTCGGAACTACTTTTTGCTCCCTAAATTTAGCTGACTTGGGAACTCTCTCCGGAACTACTTCTGGACAAATGTGTTATTCTGTAACTGTAATAGGAGGACTTCCGTAACGAGCGACCACTATATGAGACAGAGCAGAATTGAGGGCTAGGGGTAGGGGCAGATCTAGGGGTAGGGGTAGGGGTATTGAGGGCTAGGAGTAGGGGCAGATCTAGGGGTAGGGGTAGGGGTAGGGTTTGGGTTAGGGTTAGGGGTCGACCAGTATGAGACAGAGCAGAATTGAGGGCTAGGGGTAGGGGTAGTATAGGGTTAGGGTTAGGCCTCTTCTTTATTGTGTTTGATGGGGTGGTCACTCGTTATGGAAGTCCTTAATTACAGTGGAAGGTAAGTTATGAAATA